TTATTATTATATGGCTGTGTCTCACAAGGACTGGGAACTACCGAATTCACGAATTTGATTGGCTGAAATCAATATTGAAAGCGGTCTAGATTTTCCCATCTAGACCGGCATCTAGACCGGTCTAGAAAAAAAAGGTACAAAGAATATAAAAAATTGGCATATAAGACACAGCCATATAATAAACATCTTATTAACCGAGCTAGGTCGGTCTGTATGGGAGAATCTTGACCTCGGTCGCTGGTACAGACCTCACTGTGTTTGGTCTGTACTGGCAACCTCGGTCAAGATTCTCCCATACAGACCTCCCGTTCAGTCAATAAGAACTAAATATAAGGAACCGCTCGACCAATCAGATTGCTGGAAACTCTTTGCTTAGCTCTGAAATTATACTAAACTACCATATGAGTGCCGCAGGTAGCTGCAGGAGACTTTCGATTAGATCGCAGGCTCATGTGAATAAGTGAAGCTAAAAATGTCTTTAAATTAACATTCAATAGAATTTCCATCGCACGAAATGAAATAATCCGTGGAACACAGCCGTATTTCAGCAAACGAATCAAAACATTCTCCAAGTATCATAAACTTCTTTTTTAAACATAGACACCGAACTTATTTAGGAAACTGGCCACACTCGTAAGAAACAAGTTAAAAAAATCGATTCGCCATGTACTGGAGAAATCTGTCATCTCGAGTTGAAAACTTTCTTCATCTTCGACACCTGTAGAATTGACAGTGTTTGAAATTTTTAATGAGAATTCATCTACTCATCTTTTCCGAGAGCAAATGGTTTTAAACATTTAAATCCGAAGATCTGATTGTTAATTCTCCCCTCTAACTGCTACACAACTCCTTGTCAATTAGTTACAAGATTTTGCTGTTAGATCAAAACATCAACTCTCCCAAATAAGTTTAAGTATTATCAGTACCTGCTTGCTGAATAACGTGTGGATATTATGGGGAAAAGTTCCATTTTAATCACCTCTGGGAGTTGAATGGCTAAAACAAGACAGGATAGCTAGTAACATGGTTTATCTTCTTCAGTCTTGTAAAGCATGAATTTATGAATACTCCTCTCATGCGTTAAATTTTTATGGTGGAAAGGCGGAAGACTTTAAGTCCTTTTTCTATCTAGAGATAAAGCTTTGGTCCGAGAAAGTTTTGATAATCTAAACGGAAGCACGTTTGATCTCCAGCGTCAGTAACCAAAAAAGTCTTGAATCAATTAGGATGATGTGATAACTTGACACAGGCGGCAAAGAAAGGCGGTGTTTGGCAGCTGGGTTCTAATACTATGGGGGACATCCTATAGGGTTTGATGAGGCGGAAGTTATAGTTTGCGCAACATAAAAATGGTTTGACAAAATTCGCGCTCGGCGAAATATGATGACAGGGAATTAAAAAGAGGGATCTCGCGCCACTCTCTCAACCAATCAAATCATCAGGACGTGGTCGCCGGCGTTTTCCCGCGCTTTTAGCGGTTTGCTATTTTTCACTTGAATACTCATCGGCTTTTCAAGGTATTAATTCTCAAAAAGACCATCAAATGTAAGTTAATGTATCATAATATTGGCATACAATGATAATGAAATCTTCGACTGAAAGTATTAAGACGTGGTTTTTCTATTTGTGATATTTCTTAGCCAGTAGAGCACCAAAAGGTGATGATTTCAGCGAAACTGGGTCGCAGGACCACGCGGCTAAACTTCAGTGGCGCAAAGCCGCCAAAACACTGACAGTTCAACATCAAATTATGGACAGCTTCCAACACTCGTCACGTCATGATGATCCAAGCCCCGTTAGTAGATTCAAAATGGCGGCCCAGCGCGTCCAACACGATAGAGAGGCTAACCTAGCTGGTTCCAGTCTCCACGATGTGGTTCAAATGGCAAGCGAAGCCAATACCGATTATGATACACCACGATCTGACAGAAACGCAGGAAACTTGCATCTTCCAGTTTTAACAAGAAACTCTCCAGTAGAGAATCGTTTAGCAGGAGGTACGTCATCTGAATTTCAGGATCAACTTCCTCAGAAATTACGTGAAAGCGCAGACATTCTGATACGTAAAGTAGCAGAAATTCAATACGAAGAAAATCTGCGACAGTCGCAAGAAACCATTCGCGAGGCACTGGACCGAGTTAAAAAGGCACAAGACCGAACGCAGTTTGTGAACAGTTTAGGGCGCGATCTTAAAGAGCGCCTTTATGGTGAACTTGAGTTCAGAGACACTAACAGAAGTTTGAACGAGGAAAGAAGAGGAAAAACTGATCAGGCGCTCAAAGACAGCGACGATTCGAGACATAAGCAAATATTAAAAGAACTGGCCAAGGAGAAGGAATGGCAGCGAAAAACAGAAGGCATGATTGCCAAACAGGAAAAGAGAATCGAAGAGCTTCGACAAGAGGTGAAGATAGAAATCCGGAGCATTTTGGAAGAACAAAACAGGCATTACGAGGAACTAAAGCAAATGATGAAAGATTCCAGAGCATTAGTACCCCATAATGGCAGCGACCACGCTTACGTGAGTCTGGATGGGTCGACGCATTCTGGATCAAATCTGGAGGATCTTATTCCAAGTAGAAAGAGAAGGCGCGACAGGGAACCCAGCACAAATTCGGCACTACAAGAGCATTCTCGTGCAAGCACGCCAGAATATTATATCCAGTAGATGAAACGTTTTGGTACACAATTTCACATATCATTCATACATTTTTACGCCTAGAATACCCCCATCCCCCCCATGCAGCTATTAATATACGAATTATATACATTCCGCGGAGGAAATCTATACAAATCACACACATTCTCCATGAAAAAAAATTGTAAACATTCAAATATAAAAGAACAAAATAGTTCATCTATAGGCATTGATGGCAAGAATCCTTTTGCCAGAACACATGAACAAAACTTCTTTATCCAGTTGATGTAGAGCAATCCCAATTTAATCGCTAGCTGCCTTTCGTCAGCGAAGCCAATAATCGCTATTAACATATCGTATCCATCCGTAAGTGAATCTTTAATGACTATGATAATACAATCAACTCTCTATTAACGGACACCTCTATAAGCCGGACAGCTGGTGCTGGACCCGCCCGTTTCTTAGTCATTTTACTATAACCAAACTCTCTGCAAGACGGACACTTCTATAAGACGGACAACGGACGATTTGAAATCTTCAACGGACACTTGTGAGGTGCTGAATGTGACCGAAAATTACGATTTAGGGAAGAAAACTTCTTAAATTACCAAGTACCCGAGACTCCTTTTAACACCAGACGTTTAATTGACAGCTCTTATCTTGTCGGCGGAATACATACAGTACAAGTTAAAATTAAATCAGTCATTGTCTCTCATTGAAAAAATAACTTGGAGATGACAACCGAATGGTATTGTAATCTAAAACAGTTATTTTCGTGCTTTCTTTGCTGAACTACAGCTTTCCCCACCGTTATCCCCTTGCTACCTCCTCTTGCTGCTGGTTTTTCTTTCTTGATTCCTGGTTAAAGTGTCCTCAACTATCTTTCTTTCTTTCGCAATGCGTTCACTTAGCCATTTCACAGCTAGCGAGTTCCCTGAAAAATACTTAACTGCTGATCAAGAGATTCCATCATGTGAGCCTCCTGTTAATACCACCCTCCCCAACTGGCGTCAACGATTAAGGGATGAAGCCCTCCATCTCTATCAAAAAGAGTCCGAGGAACCTGCCAGCAAAGTTGTAGTGGTCGCAGAAGAAGACCAAGCAAGATGTGGACTTTGAACCACCTGCTCCAACCATCAAATCCACTACAGAAGCTCTTAGACTGGTTGACGACCTAAAGGAATTCGCTTCAACAACCCTACAAGATGAAATACTCGTATCAAAATTAAGCAGCGTTGGTCAGCGCTTTAAGGTTTTTCAACTCTTGCACCTGAAACAATCCACGATAACAGATTTCTTTTCTTCCTAAGTCCATGCCCCGACCAAAGCCATGGCTTTCACCAATACATCTCGGAGCCCGGAACAGGCTACGAAAGACAGTGCAGAATGTACTGTTCGCTGTTTGAACTCTAGTTAACGCATTAACTATTGATTGTAATACGACAAGAGATTCAATTTTACAAACATGTTTTTGTTCCAGTTTGTAGGTTTCGTTCTAGTAAATAACTTAAAACAAAGTTTAAACAGACGCGTATTCACTGTGCACAGGTTCAGCATGGTATTATCTTAAAATTCCTGGGGTCATGTTACGTCGACTGTCTATAAGCCGGACACCTCTCTAAGACGGACACCTCTCTATAAGCCGGACACCTCTCTAAGACGGACAGCCGAGGCCGGTCCCGATGGTGTCCGTCTTAGAGAGAGACGGTTGACTGTAAACCAATCAATGCAATATTCCCCTTACATATGACCCAAGATGAGGAGATGTGTCTACGATTGACCCCTGATATGAAACATGTCCTGTGTAGAATGGCATCGAAACGTACCAAACAATACTTGCAGTCAATCCTAGGCACAGCTGGGGTGACTTGTCCCTGTACAGGAGAAGGGAACATCTGATCGTAAGTGACAAGTGGCACAATTCCAGTGCAATCGGGTGACACAAGTATTCCCGAAGTGCAGTGGTTTTGTTAAACGACACCCTGTAATTGGTCCAAAAAATTCGCGCCACCGTCTCGACCAATCATTTTCAACACTAAATCCAGTCGAGATTTTGACTCTCGCGTTTTCGCGCGAATTCTTCCAACTCCAACCGGGTGTCAAACACACTCTTGAGATTCTAGACGTTTTGCTGCACTACACCCTGTGACTGGTCCAAAAACCTCCGTCAACCTCACAACCAATCATTTACAAATCTAAAACTTCTCGAGATTTAGTCACTGGCGCTTCCCCGCCTTTGGGGCTGTTAAGGGGTATTTGATGGGAGTTCTCATTGTTTGAGGTGATTTTTACCTCTGCTCTATCTTGCCCTTGTGATTACCTTGTTCTCATTGGTTGAGGTGA